TTATTAAAGCATCTGGGTAAAACAATAACTCTGTAAATGACAAAAGACTTTAAAATGTCAATTATTAAAGATCTGATGAGAGTTTATTATAATAGAATTGACAAGAAAATTTGGTTATTTCTATAACATACAACATTTTAAGATAATAGCTGCAATTATGACTGATAACACACCAGGATATATCAGACTTCCAGAAATTCCACATAATTTCTAGAATACTTATTATATATACCTATACAGACACACCATAAAGAAGGCTTCGTATTACTTACTTAACAAATCTTTTGAGATGTTCCAGGGGCCCTCTGGAAAATTTCAGATTTAGCCTTTATTTAGAATTTGACTTTTGGAAAGTTTGTCAAAAATATCAAAAATGTTTGAAAACACTTGGTCAAAATAGGATTATAGGTCACTGTGAAACAATACTTAGTTACCCATTTAACCAGAGTGACAATTAAAGACTTCATAGGCAAACATAGATGGTTAGCGTAGTTCTAAGCAAAACTTAGCTATTTTAATATCAAGGGGACTAGGTTTACTTAAGCAAACAAAGACCTGATAAACACAGGAAAATATTTTGGCTAACTACAGAATTCTTGTTTTCTAGGCAGATTACTTTTAAAGATAAACAAAACTTTTTACCATCTCTTATGAAAAGCAGACCAATAGTCCAAGAAAACAATCGTTCAAGAAAACTTTGTCCTTTCAACAAAGAGAAAATCAAATTTCACATTTACATCAGTGTAGTTTTGATATTGAAACTCATTTACTTAATTCAGTTTACTCGATTCCTAGCTAGTCCTGAGCACAAGTAAAATGCCTTTTCAAATATTCCTTTTCCATAAACCTTCTACAACTTTCTTTTTTACATTCAGATTTTGTCCTAAGTTTTCCCTCTTTCCAAGCCTCTCTTTGGGACAAAATTACTTTCTTTGCCCTTAACAAACTACACTTTAATTCTTTGTGTCTTCTTTCACTGAAAACACACATCTTACTTTCCTTGCATACAGAGATGTTGCCCTTGTTATTTCTAGCAGCTTCGATCACATATATTAGATTTTGTTTTACCTCTTAGAAACCCTTAATTTCTAATGAAGGCTAAGAAGTAAGCAATCGTGAACTGGATGTTACACCAGTATTTTTTAGATTGACAAACTTATGATTACATTTTATAATTTCTAGAGACATATGCTTCCACATAGTTCCAGTCTTCAGTGTTTGAAATATGTTTACTAATGGACCCAAATATTTTTAGTTTTTCTGAAAAAAGAAAACAAAAGTTAGTAAGCCTATGTTCAGTAATTAATGCTCAATACTTCATTGTATTAGAAATTATCTAGATATTTGAAAATTTTCCACTATTTAACTCAACTTAGCAAAGCTCCAAAGCTTCAAGTTACCAAAAAGATTTTGGAAGCCATTTTTAAGTACACATACTATACAAATATAATGCTCAAGAATTCATCTCAAAACCTCTTATCCAACTTTCATCTATTTGATTTACTTGTTCTTAAGAATGATGAAAACTTCATGAGACATTAGACAGTCAACTATCATCCCAATTTATTTTTCTAGCTGACAAATAACATGAACTTATTTAACTAATAAACCCACAACCTTATTTGACTAATAAACCCAGGTAGTATAAAAGTTGTTTATCTTCATTATATTCCATGCTGATAACTCTGAAGGCATTCCTATTTTAATTAAGCCACAAACTTAAATTTGCTTTAATACTATTTTCTGAAATCAAATGAAGCTGAAATTAATTTGGGTTAGTTTCTATATTTCTGAGAATTTTAGAATACCTGATCCTTAGTGAGTGCTTGCCTTCAAGCCAACTAAAATGAGCTTTTTTACACATTAATTTTGGCATTGTCATCTGAAGTTAGAAATATGTCACACATCTACAACATAGGAATATAGACACACATAAACGTATAGTCAGACACAAAGGCCTCATAGTTATGAATATTTGTGAGGATGTTTCATTTGCCTAATTTCCAAATACTTCTTTTTCTTTTTTAACTTTTGATAAGAAACATCTCTTTAAAGTATGCATTTCAAAGAATATTCTTTCTGAGGTCTGAGAGAATGGGGTTGGGGGGTGTGTGTAGAAATCCACATCACAAAGGCACAGAAAACAAACAAACAAAAAACAAAGGCACAGAAAAAGAACACAAGTTTTCTCTAAGATGGAATTTAGGGGCCATATTTGCTTATTATCCGAGCTTTAGTGTTGTTACTATGTCGATTTAGGTTTTTCCTTTATCTTTTTGGGGGGGAGGGCACGGTAATTAGGTTTATATATTTGTTTGTTTATTTATTTATTTATTTGTTTGTATATTTAATGGAGGTACTGAGGATCAAACCCAGGACCTTATGCATGCTAAGCATGTGCTCTACCACTGAGCTAGCTATAGCCTCCCCTCTTCTTTATCTTAAGTGCAGGACAATTCTGTTTCCAGTGTCCCAATATCTGCAGGCATTTTGAGATGAAAAGGGGGGTTGTGAGCTTGTAGGGTTTTGAATTGCCTCTAGACTTACCTCTCTAGCCTCATAGAGGTTTGCTTGGCAAAGACAGTTGTTTCCAGTTCCTCAGAGAATTGTGTTGTTGCCCAAGCAACATCAGAGGACTGTTACACCCATCCACCTCTCTGTGTTGGAGTGTTATTTCTTTTCCTCTAGGTATATTTAGTTTAGGGGAGAAGGCCTAAAAGAAATCCACATCAGGCTCTGAATATCATCTATCATCATGAGTTCAGCCTCCCATCTTATTTTTTCCTCATTTTTATTTAACGGCTAATCTCAGGAGGTAATCCACTTAAAAATTTTTTCAGGATTCTTCAGGGGTTTAAGAAATTCTTTAATTATGGCCCTTAGTTCAGCCCTTGACCAAGGAGTGAAAGGTATCTGAGGAAGATCACCTGCAACCTCAAATGGTTTTGAGACAGGATGGAAGGGGACAGGGCACAGCCACTCAATGAATGACAGCAATTAAAACCAAAATGGTGGAAGATTCAACTCCTAGTTGGCCTTGAGGATTAAGCTGGTAGGAGGTTTGGCTTCTAGTAGATCTTGAGCTTATCTGCTCACTGTAACATGCCCTCAGCCTCTGTGACCTCCCAAGGCAGACCACAATAGGCCAAAGAATGGGTGGTGACCCAATTCCTGAGATTCCCAGCCCCTTCTCCAGGGCAGCTGGAATGGCCCCAACTGTGTGTGAAGCGTGTGAAGCTACCGATCCCATAAAAACTGGCAATACCACGCCTAATGGCCCTTTTCACTCCCTCCTCTTTGGAGATTGCCCGCACTCTGTCTGTGGAGTGTGTACCTACTTTTACTTTAACCTAAGCACCCAATTCCCACACCTCTTCCCTTGCCTTTCTCTTGCCTTACACTCT